ATGAGCTTCTGTTGCCATATCATTGTCCCACACTTGGAGCAAAATCTAGAATAGTGTTATAGTAAAAGAGTTTGCCTTTGATATTTTTACATAATTCATTTTATGAGCCAACAGTATTTGAACAGTATTTCCTTTGATAAGGGAATTAGCTTGCTTAGAGGTCAAATATAAAGCTTTAGGATCTCATACCAATCTCAGTCTTGGAGAGAAGCACCCCAGAATTTGATGTAATTGGAAGATTTTAAAATTTTGTTTTCCTCCTGCTTTCCAGTTTTCAGTTATCTGTGACAAGCAGATCAAACCATGTTAACAGCAGCCAATTATGGCAGTTAAGAGATCTGATAGAATTTTGGTTGGCCTCCTGTGGTGACTTTGTAGGTTCACTTGTCAAATATTGCTAGTCCCAAACCTGGATTATGGAATGTTCTCCCTTCTCATAGATTAAAAACAAACCCCAACATGGAATAAATTGCCCAAATCTGGAGAGAAGGGTATTTCCATGTGGATCTATGTGGCAATCTGGCATCTGCTCTGGCGCTGCCCATTCTCATCATGTCACCTGAATCCATTTATCACCAGTTCCTTTAAGATCTATGCTAGCAAAATCTGTCTTCTCATATTCCAGCTCTGTAGAACTTCAAGACCATTGATTCTCCCTATTCTCTCATACCTCACTCCACATTTCAAAATTAGCAACCATGAAGTCAATTGCAAGGAAGTGGAAATGGTGGCAGCATAGAGGTCCTTTGAGGTCAGATATTTGTAGCCCACCAGCTAAAATCAGAATGAATAAACTGTTGTATCCAGCTCTGTATAAATCAGTGCTGTCAAACTCTCAGCCTGCGGACTGGATGCATCATGCACTGGCCACGCCGACGCCTGGTTTAGCGAAACGGGAAAAAGTCCTGATACATCACGTGACGCTGCTGTGATGACATGAGTTTGACACCCCTGGTATAAATACTGCAGCAGAGATGGGTAGACTTTGCAGCTGTATTCTTAGCTGTTGGAGGATGTGAGCCAATAAATGGATGGGATTAAGAGAAGGGATCTAGAATTAAATAGGATTGTTCACCTTTCCCCGTTTCTATTTGTGATACCCCATTTATTTCTTATCTTTCTGATGCTCTCATCACTCGCTTGTTATTGTCCGCCCAGGAAAGAATAGGGCAGAGCACAGAAATATTTTTTGAGAGGAAACTTTTGAAATTAAGGAGAAAGCAAAAAGATACTTTCAGATTGCAAACTACTCTCAATACAGAAGGAATGGGTTTGGGAAATCTAGGTATCGATTTCGTTTTGCCTTCATGCAGAGCAGTGCCAGACATTTATTCAGAAGGAAGACTCGCTGAATTTTGTGGGATTTGGCTCTGACATCTCGGTGATTTAAGATTATCTAAGGATTGTGTAACAGACTTGACAGATACCATGTTGCCTAGTCCTGTAGAACTGCATAGATTATGAGAATGCAAAACTTAGCCATGAACAACGAATTATATAGCATTATGAGGTGGAAGTATGCCAAAATTGTATTCCTTTGCTCTTTAAAGAAGTGTACTGTAAGATGTTCTTGGCATCCCAGCTAATGTCATTCCATGTGCTTCTCCAGTCATTTCAGTGTTCCCTCCCTCTGACTCAGCCCTCAAAGAGATCTAGCAACAGAGAGTGCTACTAAATTAATTATACACGTTACCACTAAAAGTATTTGCAGCATGCCTGGCAGTGCTGCAAGAGATCTTTCGGTCATTTAGAAATGGCAATGGAGTTCATTCGTCTGTCCTTTACCTGAGTCTTTAATAGCTAGGGAGTTAAACCACAGATAACAGTTAAGTCTGGGATTCCAGAGAATGGTAAGAAATTATAAATTGGGTCTGAAAACAGGCCAAACCTCATTAGCGCCGACCCCTGGAAATTATAATTCTCCCAAGCTTCTTGTCAGTGTTGTAGTTCCTTGCTGGAACCTGAGAAGATATTCTGGACACTATGCAGAGTAAATTTCTTCTTGAATAAATTTCTTCTTGCATAGAACTTTTTCTTTCTTTCTTTTCGTGCGGATACACACACACATACACAATGAAACCAGTGTGCCATGATTGTAAAATACATACATAGATACATACACACCTACATCCTTAATTTTTCTATATCTTTAGAAATAACCTGGTTTTGATAAAATATTTTATGACTAAAATTATAGCGTAGCATCTTCTTTCAATCCAACATCTGTTAATCCCCAACTTCCTACTTTAAAACTGCAAAAGTCCTGGTAGATGTGCATGTTTCAGCAATCAATCTGGTCCCAGGACAGGATTCTTCATATACTAATGAGTCTACTAGTTTTTCAGCTTTACCATAAGGCATTGCACGAAGCCTAAAATATCAACCTTGTCATGGTGCTTTAAGGCTTTTTTTTTTTTTAAAAAGAAAACATGGATCTGGTTGACTCAGATGGGGACTTAATGGCTGGGTTCATACACTATTTCAGGACTTACTTTTTTTAACTATTCTTTATTGGATAAGTCTAAATGATTGAATTCACCCACCATGCCTGCCTGTAACCTGCCGTCTGATCTTTTAGTAAGCATGCCTAGAAGGACAGCTTTGAATTTCATACTGTTGGGTTCTCACATCATGTGACTATGAAGTAGTTTAATTTTAATTTAGCGTCATGCCTACAATATTGGCGCCGACCTCGATGGCGTTAGAATGAGATTGGAAAAATTCATGGAGGATAGGACTAACAATGACAACGAATCATTAGTAACCTATTATCTCATGTTGCTAAAGAGCATGAGCAAGAAGGCACCGTTGAGTTCACATCCTGCTGTGGGCACACTATATGTGAACAAAATGTACATTACATCAGCTTTCCTAAACGTGGGTGACTTCCACTTATATGGATGTCAACTCCTAGAATTCCCCATCAAGCAGACTACTGCTAAAACCTATAAGATATCGTATACATCAAATGCTGATCTTAAATAAACCTTACCACAAGCTACTATGGTTGCAATCCTGGACCACCTATGTACACAAACACACTTCTTGCCTCTTGGTCATCTGATTTACAAGACAAAACAGGAGAGGAAAGGAAACTCTATACGATACATACTGGCTGCAGTTCCAGCGTGTAATTTAAAATGTTAATATTTACTAGCAACAAAACAAAGAAATCTATGATACATGCATATACTAGATTAAGCACGCTGCACTGCTGACACGAGATCTTCTCCGGTATTCAAGATGAAAGAACTATTGTGATGCTCTTCGTAAAAGGCAGGGAAGGAGACAAGGATATAAGCCTTTCTGCCTGATGTTCTGAAAGACCCATCAAACGACGTGGAACAGAATTAATGTCTAAATTCTAACTGACATTGTGCATATCATTTTGGGTGGAGGGAGGCAGAAACAAAAGTGACCAAATCATTGTTTCAGGGAGTAGCATAGTCTTTCCAACTGAATCCTGATTCTTTCAGAAAGATGATAGCAAAGAGATGGGAATCTCTTCCCATCCCTGATGATCAATGAAACCTATCAATACTTTTAATCATAAGGCTGCAAACTTTTTCATTTTCCCCTGTAACCATCAGTGCTGGAATAGTTAAATCCTGTAAAGTTCTGTAAAATAACCCGTTTCTACCACATGGAGCTTCTGATTCTGCTGCTCTACCTTTCAGTCCCCCGCTGTTGAATTACCAAGAGTTAGGCCACAGTGCAGCACTCTCAATTTGTTTTTCCCTTACCACTTGGGCAGGTACCTACTTGAGGCCCAGAGAGAAAAAGAATGAGGATGCCAACTGAAAATAGTTTGTTCAAGTCTTCTTCCAACCCCAAAGCAACGCACATTATCTGGTGCCCCTTCAGGGTCAACAAATTCTGCTCAACATCTTACATCTTAAGTCAACTTGGATTCAACTGCAATATATCTTGTCGGGGAAGACTTAAAGGCCATTAAAGATATGTTTGAATGCATACACTGCAGATAGAACAAATCACTCAAATTCTGTCCATGCCGCTTGATGTTACACTTGTTCAAATGTATCCCATCCTGATTCTATAGTTCTATGTGAAATCTGCACAAAAATTAACATTTAGCCATCCATAAAATGGTTTAACACATTTTTCACAAGAAATGTAGATTTATAACTTGTTTCATCAACAAAAGCAGATTTCTAATCTTAAGTTATCCTAATGTACACATCTTTAAAAATACATTAGCAAGCTTTTAAAATAACATTATCACTGCAAATTCAGAGATATAAAATTCAAAGAATACTGTAATTTTGTCCGGTTTAAGAGCTGCAAATCAGGTAAGCTCATACTGAAGTTTCTTAGAATGCTTATTGAGAGGATCAAATTCCTGAGGTCTCTTTATGCACGTCACTGGTGATATACTTATCACTCCACCCAGTCTCTGTACATCCCCACATAAATGCCTGTCTAAGGATTTGATTTCATTTTTTTCTGAGCAAAAAACAAAAAAACCCCAAACATTCAAGATGTGCGTCCAGGAGCTCTACAGTGGGCTTCTATCAAGTTGCAACTTGCAGATAGAAATGCTTCAAAACCATTATTGCAGGATGAAGCCTGATTTGACCATGTGATGAAGTAGCTGGATGACTCTATTCTGCTTTGGTCGCCACTAATGTTCAGTAATCTTCCTGCGCGGTTAGGCAGAATTTAGGTGACGTGAATCATCCAGTTCAAAGCCAAAGGCAAGGAGAGCCTTCAGATGGGACAAGAGCTACAGCTAGGAAGAGGAACTTACTGTAGCGCCATCCAGAAAGCAACTGCTGTAACTATGGCATGTAAGTCAGCACCTCGTGACTCTTATTGATACTCAGTTCTCACCAACCCGAAAAGGTAAAACCAGGAAAAGCTCCTGAAGCACAAGCAGTTACATTAAAGCTCTCTTTTCAGTCAATCGCCCTCCTGAATATTCCTTTCAAAAGAATAATGAGAAAGGAGGAGAACATAAAGAAGAATCGTGTTTCACTGACCTTGCTCCATCACTTGTTTCTCTTGTGGACGGTAGGTGTGATGCTGAAAAACGATGCAGGGTTGTTTCAGGCTCTCAGTGGAAAGAAGAAGAAGAAGGAAGCCCAAGTGACTGTTTTCATTCCAGGCTGACTAGAAGATCCAGGTTCTTCTGTCTGATGATGAAACACCTGGCAGGTTAAGCAGAGATACTCAGAAGCCAGTGACTCGGACAGGTGTTTCTATACACTCTTGGTCCTCATTAGATTCCCTGCCTCCTCAACTACTGCCCCGCCCCTTGCCAGATCCGCCTAAAACTCCGCTCCTAAACTCTGCCTCTCAATTCAGTTTGATAATGATTGGGCAAGACTTGCTGCATTTTTCTTCTTCTTCTTCTTCTTCTTCTTCTTCTTCTTCTTCTTCTTCTTCTTCTTCTTCTTCTTCTTCTTCTTCTTCTTCTTCTTCTTCTTCTTCTCCTTCCCCCCCCTCCTCCTCCTCCTCCTCCTCCTCTTTTCAAATGGAGATCATTTAGAATAGGATATAAGGTTTGCCAGGGTTATAGGAAAGCAAAGCCGGTTGTTTGTCACTGAGAGCAAAGCATTTCCTTATCGTGGGAAGTAAAGCTAAAGTAAAGCATACTCGTCTGGACAGGCACATGCTACCTCTCAGTTTGTGCTGCTTACAACATGGAATGGCTACTTATGATGAATGCGTGTACATTTGTAGGTATACAGATACATGCATACCATACAATATTTGAGGTCTGAACATATGCTGAATTTTTCCTTTTAGCCATTTTGGATATAACCTTCATTTGAAAATGGAGTATAATACATTTTAACATCCCAATAAATTTTAAACTACACTGACCTCTTCATCAAGGAAACATAATAACCACATAACATGCAGGCGATGAAATACGTATGTTGTTGGGTTCCATGTAACTAAGACCAATGTGGTTTATTTGCTGCTCCCCATGGTTTTGGGGGAACTTACTTGCTGGGGAGGTGGTTCTTCCATATTGCCCTACATAGAGGAAAAAACAATATCTTCATTAATCTGATTGTCTGCTATGAGAAAATCAAAGGCTTTTTTATATGTCCTCTTGCTAATAAGCAACGAAACTAGCCTTTCTTAATTTTTAACTAGGCAAGTGTTTGTTTTTGACCTCAAAATAAAAAGCTGCATACCTGAAATATCTATATAACTCAAACCACAGATCTGCCCAGTCTTGTCCTCTGCCTTCACAATGTACAGCAGAAGCTGCACTGCTCTTAAACCTTTACTTTCTCTCCAAAGTGTTCATTTAATAACAATTGGGGAATTAAATTACCAACTTCTTTTGGTTGCATTGTACCACTAGGGGTCAGTAGTGGGACTGAACTTTGCCAGGTCTTAGGGGTAGTAAGACTCAGAATCTGCTCATGAGATCAGGAGAAAATTGAGCCATAAAATGGGACATAATGATTACACAAAACCCTGACCACTGCCAGGATGCTGCATCTTTCTTCTGCGTATTTTAACAGTTTATTGGAATAGGTACGGGGGCCCTTGGGCACCATGCCACTGGAGGGCCTTTCCCACTGCTGAGCTGAACTCCTCTCCACCCATCCTTAATTCAGGAGAAAACAATACCGGCATGTAATTTGCTCTCCCATTCCTGATCCTTATCGTGCCTCTATTGCCTCTGTTCCCACTCATTGCACTCATCTGATTTGAATGGTACCAATTTGAACCAAGAGGATTTCAAAACTATGACATGTGCATTATGATGTCAGCATGCAAACGGCCTGATTACATCATGGCTGACACAAGTCTGCATCTCACGCCATCACGGACATGTCATTTGCGCGTTGCACCTTGAGGAAACCCATGCCTACCTCTCCTCACCAAGATAATAGATGTTAAAACCTAACAAATTTTACACCATTTGAGGCTTCCTCGGACAGTATCAGAATAAAGTGGCAAAACCTGCTTTAACACTGGAGCAGTAAAGGACTTAAACCAGTCTGCTGGTGATGGATGAGAAGCAGGCAATGTCATGAGGGCATAGCAGGAGAAATAAATGCTATCAGGTCATGTTGAGAGGCCCGGTGGCTCAGAGTCTTAAAACATACTGGAGAAGGTCTGTGCCAGGGGTGAAATTCACTTACCTTCACTACCGGTTTGCAAATGTGCGGTAAAAAACGGGACGTGATGACCGGCACTACCGGTTCACCTGAGCCGGATAGAACCGGCTGAATTTCACCACTGGTCTGTGCTCTGACAGTTTGAGTCCTATCATGTGTAATGGAGTGAGCTCCCGTTACATGCCTCAGCTCCTGCCAACCTGGCAGTTCGAAAGCATGTAAATGTGGGGAGATAAATAGATATCACTTTGGTGGGAAGGTAACAGCACTCCTTGTTTCACAGCACACTCTGTACTGTGGCATGATGCTGGCCACATGACTGAGGAAATGTCTTCAGACAGAACTGGCTCAATGGTCTAGAAATGGAGATGAGCGCCATCCCCTAAAGTTGGCTATGACTAGAGAAGCAAAACCTACAGGGACTCTCTCACTTTTTACTCAAGTCATGTTGGTGCAAGTGGGGAAAAACCAGAGATGAGAACTGATAAAGCTGATCCTTTTGGATGTTCTGTAGAAAGACACCATGTAGGCCTTTTTTAATTTAATTTTTAATGTTCAGCCTTACTCAACTTTTGGAACTAGCCCATGTTCTTCGCTTGGCTAAATATTTATATATATGTTTAGTGACCATTCATGGACCCTGAAAAAGGTATTTATGACCCAGATTTGAAGTTCTGACAGCCCCTCCCTCCCGGTTGCGTGATTGCATTTTGGGTGCTTGGCAAATTGCCTGCATTTACAGCCATTTGTGGTGTCCTGTGGTCACGTCACTGCAATTTATGATGTTTTTGGTGGGAACTGGCATTTACTTCCTGTTTCCAGTAAAAAACATCTCATAGTAAACAGTGGGTTTCCTTAATGACCACCACAAACAAGGTTGCAAAACTGGTCACGGTCATATGATGACCTGCTTAATGACCATCGTGATTTACCACTGTAATTGTGGGCTCAATTATGGTCATACGTTGAGGACTACTTATACATATTTGAAATTGCAGGCAATATCTGTATATATGCAATGAGAAATCCTTGGTTTCCCATTTTTAAGGGAGCAGACTGGGAGAGATGACAAAGATTTCAGTCACACTACTATGCCTTATTCAGGTTCTCACCTTTTCAGGTCCAAGGAACGAATTTGAAATTTCATCCTAGTTTAAGTTTGGCTTTCCTTCTTGAGACGTGAATATATTTCCAAACTAAACTGATCTGATCTAAACTGACTGATCAGGATGGAAGCAGTATTTTGGGATGGGTTGGTCAAACAGAGAGAATGTACAAATCACAATACAGGTAGTCCTCGACTTACAACAGTTCATTTAGTGATCGTTCAAAGTTACAACAGCACTTATGATCATTTTTCACATTTACGACCTTTGTGGCAGCCCCATGATCATGTGATCAAAATTCACAGGCTTGGCAACTGGTTCATACTTATGACTGCTGCTGTGTCCCAAGGTCATGTGATCACCTTCTGCAACCTTTTGGCAAGCAAAATCAATGGGGACACCAGATTCACTTAACAACTGCATTACTAAATGTATGGGCTCAGAAATGTTGGGCTCAGTTATGGTCATAAGTTGAAAGTTGAAAGGAAGGGGTGGACCGAGAAAGTTATGACTGGATGAAACTGATGAGGTCTTTTTCCAAAGCAGAAAGGTGAGAACTTTAAATAATGTATGGATACGTAGGAAACAAGACTGGTTGATCTCGGAGGAGAGAGAGGAACAAAGAACAGTGAATGGTTAAATGTCTATGCAGATTCTCAGTCATCCAGCTCATAGTTGTCCCAAAGGTGTTTTTTAAAAAAGCAACTAGACTTTGTTTTTCCTTGAAAACGTTTTGCTTCTTACCCAAGAAGCTTCTTCAGTTCTGAATGGTATTGGGATAAATACCATTTTATCTCTGTTTCCTTTTCTCTTATCTCATACCTTTAATTTCTTTTGCTCACTATTTCTTAATCCATCTCTGTACCCTGCATTATGATACTTATCCTGGAGCAGAATAATGTGATAGTATGGTTATCTATAGCACTGGACTGTAGCCATCCGCCATTTTCTTTTCTAAGATGCCTACTCTAGGTAAATAAAGATGAGGGCAAAATTTACATTGTGACCATTTCCCAAGTTTTAGGTAGAGAGCTTGATGAGACTGAATTGACTCATATTGATATTTCATAGGGCTTACCACACAATGTATTTTGCATTCCATTCTTAAATGAGAAATCTAGAGCTGATTTTGCCTTGGGAAGAGTAGAACCTTAAAGTACTCCCTTGCTATTTTGTGTGTGTGTGTTTTTTTTAAATTATAAAGATGTTGTGCCTTTTACTTTTCAGAGATTTGAGGTGTATTTGAGCGTGGTTCATCTTTACAGCACGATGGGCAATATTTGAGAAGTCGGGCAGTGGGGAAATCCAAATTTTTTTACTACCGGTTCTGTGGGCGTGGCTTGGTGGGCGTGGTGTGGCTTGGTGGGCGTGGCTTGGTGGGCATGGCAGAGGAAAGATACTGCAAAATCTCCATTCCCAATCCACTCCAGGGAAGGATACTGCAAAATCTCCACCACCATCCTCCTGGGGGAAAGATACTGCAAAATCCCCATTCCCTCCCCTCCTGGGGGAAGGATACTGCAAAATCCCCATTCCCCCCTCACTCCTGGGGGAACGATATTGCAAAATCTCCATTCCCACCCCACTCTGTGGCCAGCCAGAGGTGGTATTTGCTGGTTCTCCGAACTACTCAAAATTTCCGCTACCAGTTCTTCAGAATCTGTCAGAACCTGCTGGATTTCGCCCCTGGTCAGAGAGTTGTAGTTTGATCATCTGAGGTCAAAAGAGTTAGACTAGAGGAAGTCTTCTGGGCATTGCCAAGGGTGATTTTTTTCAACCTATGTTTGTTTTTTTTCCAACCTGTGTTTTATTGCAATTGGAAATTGGATGGAAAATCTTTCAGGGGGGGGAAATAGTTCCCATCCCAACATACCATCTATCCCACCCTTCAGAATTAGAACATTTGTCATTCAATTTTGTCAATATAATCTGTGGCTATTTAGGGGATCTGAACTGAATCATATCTGTCTTAGTGTGGACCATCAGTCAATTATTTGAGTCTCCATTTTCATTTTGACTTGTTGCAATTCCCAGACTGGCTTGTGAGAACCAGCTTTGAATTGTTTGTCAGTCGCCACATCATTACATTCCCATGCTAACACATTATCACATAGACTGGGCCTGGTGATATTGATTGCACCATTTTAAACAACAAA